GTTCAATTCGTTTATTCATTTTAATTGAACGTGATAAACGAGTATTTGCAGAAAAAAGAAGATTTTCTCGAACAGTTAATGTTCCACTGATAATATCTTTAATTAAACATAAAGAAAAGAAAAACAATATATGATAATATTCCTACCATCTTGAATAACATAACCAATAATATATTTAAAATAAGAAGGACGAGTTTGTCCTGATACAAGAACAGTTCCTGTTAATCCATGATTATCTTTTCGATCTGCAAGAATATCAAGTAGAGTCGATTTTCCACAACCTGTTGGTCCTATCATTTAAAACAAAATTAGAATATGATAAGAATTATTATATTAATCAAATTTTATTTAATTGACGACTAAATAAAAACAAAAACTCGAATATGAAATCCTACCTAATATAGCATTCATTCCAGGAGTGAAAACTCCAGAAACATCAGTAAGAATTTGTTTGCTTGGTATTGGATTCCAAAATGGAAATATTTTTGTTCGCCATCGAGTTGATGATTTATTTTTAACTGTTTTATTACCAATAATATAATTAATATTGTAAAATGAAATTGTTACTAATTCAAATTCATTTTGATTAAATGATATTTCAGTTGATTTTTCTTTTTCTTTATTATTAACAACTAAATCATGTTGATGATGATTAATTGAATCTAATTGTGTAGATTCAATAATAATAATATCATTATAAACAGGTGTTGTTGTTGTTGTTTTAAGTAAAGGATAAACAATATCTTCTTTTTCATCATTTGTTACTATCAACGTTGTCATTTTTTTTCTAACTTATTATTGTAATCTAACATCGAACAGCTTATTTTTTGATAAAGAAAAAAAAATGTCAAGAATATCACGTATACTTATGTTATCATGACTACTTGAATTGAATTGCATTGTTACGATATCGTTAACTCTTTATTTCAATAGTAAGTAAATTATTCTTAAGATCTATTTTAAACTATGTTCATTTTATGAAAATTTTTCTTTTTTTAATTTTAATTCATATTCAATTCGATTAAATTAACAATCGATTTTGGTCGATCAAATAGTTATGTTTAGTCTGAACACTTCTCAAATATACATTAAATCATATATAAATCATTTGATTGTTTCGAAATTAGATATAAAAGAGAAGTTGTTTTTTTTTCTATTAAAAATAACACAATTTGAACTTTCTTTTTTTATTCTCATTCTTTAGTTAATTATCCAAAATAAAAATAAAACTCCTATTAACATCGTTCAAAAACTTTATATAATTGTTGTATTTCAGTTAATTTAACAAAAGCTTGTCGTAAATGTTTTGATGGTACAAGCATTGTTTTAAATGCATGATAAAGTAAATGTTCAATAGCCCAATGTTGTTTTTCTTCTGTATCTCCATCTTCTTCTGAATAAATATGCATACGATAAGAATAAAATTTTGATATTTCATCAGCAAATGTTCGAAAACATTCACGTTCTTCTGTCCAATTAATTTCTTTAGATAAACGAAGAATAAATTGTGGTAAATAATCAAGATTAGGTATATATGTATCAAGTAAAATAGGAAGAGTTTCTAAACGTATTGGATCTGTTGATGATATACGAAATGAAAAATAATCTTCAAGCATTTCACGACGTTCTTTTAATAGATCAATAACATATTCAATTATTTCTTCATTATCTGTTTCAAGACGAATAAGTTCCTAAAAAAAAAAAAATCATAAATGAATTTTTTTCAATTATAACAAAAATATTAATTTAAATAACCTCAATTGAAGGTGATTCATGTTCAAATTTAATAGTTCCCATATTTCCAAAATGATAAATACATAATTGATAAAATAATTCTTGAGATAAATGTCTTGTATGAACTAAATATAATTGAGTATCATGTTGAATAAGTGATGATTGTCCATCAATTGTTCCAACATAAACAAAATTTCGTATGATATTTAATAAATCTGTATCACATTCATCATTAATTGTTTGACGTAAGATTTCAATTGATGTTAATTTAATATTACGTGGAAATACAATTGAAGCTAATGGGGATATTGTTGTTGAAGATATTATTGATTTTTTTGGAATTGTTATTGAACTATTATGATAACGATGTTTATCTAATTTTTGATCACGACTAGATGTACGAATAGTATGAGATTGATTAATATTTACATTTGCTTTTTTCATTGTTACGTTTGTTGTATCCAATGAAATTGTTTTTGATGTATTATCTGTTTCAATAGGATCTTTAGGAGTTGGAGGTATCAAAGTCATTGAAGTTGGTGTCTAAAATTTTACAAATCATTTTGAACAAATTATTCTATTCTATACTAAAGTACTAAAATCTGAGAGTTGAATATGAGTCTCAAAATTTATGTTTTGAAAAGTCATCAGCGATGTGTCATAGTAAACAAGTCCACAGGTCGAATACCCATTGTAGTACTCTGTTCTATGCTTCTGGAACACTTCAATTTTTTTTTTTGAGAATGATTAATGAAAATAAAAACAACATGAAGAATAAATCCAACAATAGTGGGAATAATAATGGATACAAATTAAATGATCAGTATTTTTTTCTCAGTATTTATGTATAAAATTATCAGTAAATAAACCGAACGATTAGTAAAAAATTTAGTGTTCGGTAACTTCATCTTTACTTAGTAAATTAATAATTTGTTGGTATGAGATCGAGTGCAGAGTGTGAAGTTTGACCGTTGATGTGCGCTACAGTGCAAGATGTAGGTGCTGCTGATAGAAAGATAGAGTTCAGCAGTCAAAAAAAAACTGAAAACCAAAAACCGATCTAGCACAAGAATCGTGGATCATCAGATTGATACAAAAATTCTCAAATCTAGGTCGAGAAATTTACATTTTTTCATTTCTGAGATCAAAGATCTTAGTGTATGTGTAAAATATTGTTTTTTTTTTAATATTAAAATATGTAGTGTTTTTAATCTCAACAATTCAATAGTGAAAATTTCTCAACATATATATATTTAAAATTTTTATATCTGTTTGACGACTAATAGTTTCTTGTTTTTAATAAGCAAAACTTGAATTGGAAACGTGGTTTCGGGTAATTTTTGCAGTCACCGAGCTACACGAGAAGGCCAACATTCCACCCACACTCTTAAATACTAAACCATTTTAAATTGATTGCTGAGCTTTTCAAATTATTTACTAATCAAAACATCACTTTTTACTGATCAAAAAATATTGATCATTCATTATAAAATACTAATCAATTAATTACACGCCAATAATAAATACGGGATTTATGATTTATAGATGCATAAAAATTTCTTGACAGTAAGAGACTACATTGACAAAGAATGATTACTGGTTGCAATTTAATGAAATCTATGACATAAAGTCGAATTAATCTTAAGACAGAAATAGATGATTAATCGCTTACTTTATATTAATGAATTTCTAAGAATCTTTCTCAATGAAATATGAAGTTAAAACTCAATATAAATTCAACAAAAACACAATGACAAATATCTAATTATATTTTTGTTCCTATATCTCATACAAGTTAAATATTTCGAAATATTCTCATTAATAATTTGATTATAGATTATAACAAATACGTTGATTAAGAAAAAAAACTAAATGAATGAATAAACAAACCATATGAAATGTCAATTGAGTTGTTGTTGTTGTTTGTTTAGCTGATTTAGCAACAATAATACGTTCAATAGCTTGTACAATTGAAACAATAATTTGATCAGCATGTAAAAATCGTACTTCATTTTTACTTGGATGTATATTAACATCTAATGTTGTTGGATCCATTATTAAATCAAGATATACAAATGGAGATATTTGTTTATTAACTAAAACAGCATACATTTGTTGAATAGATTTTTTTAATGGTTGACAATCAACTAAACGACCATTTATAAAAAGAATAAATGTCATTGAATTTGAAGAATTTTTTGATGAACACTAAAAGCAAAAACAAAAAAAAATTTTTTTTTTTTTTTTTTTTTTCATTTCGATTTCTTTTGTTAAAAACAAAAAACAAAACTAACAGAATATTGTGTTCCAGTAAAATAAGCTTTACATTGAAATTTATAAGGTGTATCATCACTATTAATTATTGTTTCATACATATCTTTAACCATATCAGCTCCATATAACATTTTCATATTTTGTAAAATAGTTGTTGTTTCTTTTCCATTTGTATGAACATCTGGTTCAATTTGTTGATCACGTTTAAGTGAAAAAGAAACATGAGTATTACGTAATGCCATTTTCATAACACAATCAACCATTCTTGTATATTCTTCCGAAGCTGATTTCATCATTTTCAAACGTATTGGATTATTATAGAAAAGATCTTCAATTATTATTAATGTACCATTTGTGCCTATTTAAGAGAAAAAAACAAACAGAAGATTAAAAAAAATTTCTAATGATTCAGTTTGTTTTTATTATTTGTTTTCATTTCAATATTATCTTCTATCTCTATCTTCATTTGTATTAATATGGTTAAATATATTAAACTCATAAAAATGAAATAAAATTTGTTAACCTGCACAAGGTTTAATTGATGTTGATGGTCGAATTTTTTCATCTTCATATTCACAAATATAAGCACATGGACTTTCCGGTATTTTACTAATAATTTTAACATGTCCAGCATAACTTAATGAAGCTAAAGCTTCACCACGAAAACCATACGTATTTAAATGATATAAATCATCAAAATTTTTTAATTTTGATGTTGCAAATCTTTGACAAACAAGTGGTAAATCAACTTTACTTATTCCACATCCATCATCTCGAATTTCAATTGATTTTAAACCTCCTTGTTTAACATGAATTTGTATTATATGTGCACCAGCATCTAAACTATTTTCTACAAGTTCTTTTATTGCTGCACATGGTCGTACAACAATTTCTCCAGCAGCTATACGATTAACAACTGTTTCATCAAGTTTTTGAATTTTTCTATTCATCTAAAACAAAACACAACAAATCAGAATTTTGTTTAATTTAGTTTATTTTATTTGTTTAATATAATTTCTATTATCTTCGTTATTTTCAGTTAAACATTTAATTAACCAAGCAACACATGCTTGAGCTTTAGGTTGATTAAGATCAATTTGTGTCATTGAAAGAATTGATTCAATAGTACCATGTGTATTTCGAATTTGATTTTGACAATCAATATTATTATAAGATAATGTTGCTAATAAACAAATAAGATCAGCAAATAAATCAAATGTTGGTAATGGATGTTGTTTTGGTATATCAATATATAAACAATACCATTCATGTTCAGATTTTGAACGACGTTGATGAACTTCACAAATTAATTTTGAAACAAGATAAACAATTATTAAACGATAACGATTATCATCAAATAAATCTTGTTGATTTATATAATAATTATTTATTAATAGAATTAAACAACGAAATAAACGAAGATTTAATTCTGAATAATTATTTTTATCAATAATAGATATTAATGAACAAGAAAATAATATATGAAGATCTTCTGGATAATTATTTGATGATGATGATAATAAATTAAATAGACATAAATCATTTATTGAATCATTAGGAAGATTATTTAATACATAATATGATAATCTTGAATGTAGATCATCTAAATTTGATATTTCACTTAAACTAAAAACATAATAAAATTATCAAATAATCATAAAATTTCTTTTATCCTTAAAATTCTCTAGGCTAATCTCAAATTTGTTCGAACATATACAAATATCGACAAAGACTTCAACAGATTGTTCTTTATCAATTATATAAAAGTGTAAGAAGTTTAAAGTAAATCCTACTTATTTAATAAAAAACGAATAGATGAAAGACAGCGTAAAAAAAAATTCTCGATAAATTAGTTGATTGATGTTAATTAAATTGGGTTCTAGATCGTTTCTTTTTTTTTTTTGCCACAACAAAAGATGAATTAGTAAAGGTGTTGGTGAGTATTGTTCAAGAGAAGATAAGATTCAAGCACTCACATAATCTAACGTCGATCATATGCTAATGATATATTCATGAATACTTTTCAATAATTCTAGTAATAGACATTTGACTTGTTTTTTTGTTTTTTATTTCGATCTAAGTTTAGAGAATTTTTTTTGTCATTGATTATTTTGTTTTGATCGTTTGTATAATCTTTATTTAGAGTAATTGATACATATTTAAATAAAACAAATACTTACTCGATTTTTTCAATTATTTTTGAAAATAATTCTTGAGAATTTTGTTTTATTGGTTGAATACTTAAAATCTTTTCTTGATCATGTATATCAATAGCATATAAAAGTTCTTTTGTATAGATTTTTTCTAAATAAAATTTTCTTAACCATTGTTTGTCTTTTTCAATAAGTAATTTTGTTAATTGATCAATCCATGGATTATCTTCTTCTTCTTCTTCATCTTCATTTTTATATAAACTATTAATAATTAAATCATATCTTAAATTATTAAATGTATTCATTTCAATATATGCACATAGAATACATGCAATTACATTTTTATTACTATGTGGTAAAAGTATCAATGCACATAAATAAGCAATATCACGATATTTATTTGGTAATAATAATCGATTAATATTATGTAAATATTGAAGAAAATGTTTCGTTAATTCTTTCGAATTTGAATTAAGACATTCTTTTATATTAAATATAAGTAGATCAATTTCACATTGATTTAATAATGATGATCTTGATCTACCATATAAATTTCGTTGTACAGAAAGTCCTTCAATAGATATATCTTGACAAAGAAAATGATTTGCGATATGAATATATATTGAATCATCTATTATTGTATTAGATTTTTCTTTAAGAAGATTTGCAAGATAACGAGGATCATTTATAAATGAGAGAATTTCATCAGAAGAACACATCTAAAAACATAATAGTTATTCTCTACTTATAAAAAAAAAAGAAAAACTAAGAATTTGTTCTCTACAGCACATATAATATAATCTATCATATAATGTAATTTCATGTCTTTTATGTAATTACATCAATATCAATTTTTCTTCTGACTCATTTGTACACTTTCGATCAAAATCAAAAATTTCATAATTAGATAAATAATATTTATTGAATGTTAAATATTACAAAAAAAAAGAGGATTAATTTGGATTGATTTTAATCAAAAATTGTTTTTATTTTTTGCCAGTATTTGTTTTAAAAATTTTATTTAATACAATGCCAACTAATTCTCCTGGCACTGACCATAAACCAATTAATAGACAAAGAACAAATATAAATATAATTATGCCAATAAGTATTGTCCATCGAAAATTACGCCAAATAACATATCGAAATGTTTTCCATGGTGATGTAAACCATAGAAATGAAGTTTTTGGACGACTAACAAAGTAAAAACATATTAAATTAGTCATATGAATTAATTAAATAAAACAAACTTTGGTTCATCAAGTGGTTGTGGTCCTTCACGTCCTTTACCAACAGGATTTTTTTCAGCTTCTTCAGCTGTAAGAAGACTAAATTCAGCTTCAACTTTACCCTAATTAAAGTCAAAAGATAAGAAATTGAAATTTAATTTTTATTATTGAAACATACTCCTAATAGAGCTGTATCACGAACTTCTCCAACTTTCAATGGAGCAATCATTGGCCACCAACCTAAATAAATTAACAAAATTGAAATTTATTTTGACCAAAAGAAAAACAAAAAAAAGAACTTTTTTTTTTGTACCAGCAATACGTTTGTTTACAAATAAATTTAATGCTCGATGTTTTGAATCAAGTAAAATATCTGATTTACATTTTTTCGACATTTTAGAACCAATTGGTAAATGTGTTAGATTAAGAATACATTCACCTTAGAAAAAAAAAAAAAAGAAAACTGATGAAAATTTATTTCTTTTTTTTTTTCAAAATAATTAAAACAAACCAAGAAAATCATCAGCTGAAAAAAGATCAGCATCATAAACACGAATAACAATTCTTGGTGGAAGTTTTTTCAATGTATTACCAATTTGAAAAACTGATTCTTTTTTTTCATGAACTATTTTTTCTTCAATATCTATATAATTAAAATCAAAAATAAATCGCCAATTAAAATTGCCTTCGCCTGTTAATGATCTATTTGAAAGAAAAATAAATAAATTATTTTATTTATTTTAAAAACTAACCGATAATGAATATCAGTTTGTTGTCCATCATCTTTTTCTCCTAAAACCCATGCTTTTACATATATATCCGATGTTTTTTCTCCTGTTACAAAATTTTCATCATTTAATTCAACATCTGATGTATTCCAAATAGTTACACGTAATTGATATGCCATTGGTTTTAATGGTGTTATATCAACGGGTGCACTAGATGGTGGACGAGACATTGGAAATATATCTAACCACATCTCCAATTTGCCTTGTTCGACATCCGGAACTTTTGGATCAAAAAGTGATCGACATTCAATATGTTCAGATACTAAAGCACCTTTCTATATTGATTTCAATAAAAAAATTTTTCTAAAAATTCTTTAATAAAAAGTCTTCTTACTGGATTTATTTTAATAGCCCATCCGTGAAGTGCAGTTAATGCTGTATTTTGTCGAATATATTCATCTGGTGATTCATGATGAACTTTACGATGTAATAAATCATTTGGTTTTCCATGTTTTATAAATTGAACACATTCTGGATCACAATCAAAACGTACATCACCAATAATTACTGAACGACAATCTGTTGCATAAACTGGTAATTTTAAATTTGTTGTTCGACATAAGTCTTGTAAAATAACAGCAGGTGTTTTTGTATCACGCCAAACATTATAACCAGCACTAAATATAAAACAATATTTAACATAAAAGTAAATACTTTTGTTTTTGAAAATATATATTATTGATGAATTGACCTATCATATCTTTTTTGTAAACCACATGTTGCTCTATGACATGAAAACCAACGATTTTCAATATCAATACTTGTTTCAGCAATTCTATCATCTAAATTTGCTAAATCCCAATCCCAAACTTGTATACGTAATAATGATTGTTGAGGAATTGTTATGTCAAATTCATAAGATCTATTTAAATTATTTTAAATAAATTTTATTTATTAGTTTTTTTATTTACTTTCCAAAAACAGGTTCTAATGTATTATAAAGTCTTTCTTTAACATCATCAATAATGATATCTCTATTCAATAATATTTTAATATATGGATCAGCTTTACCCGATGCATCCCAAGCACGAAATAATAATGCTTTAATAATATACAATCGACATTTAAGTGTAATTGGATGTTGATTCAAATCAAATTGAAGCATTTCTTGATTTAAATGAATAGTTGGATCTAGTTTTTGCTTTGTTTCGGATACTGTTTGACTATTGAGTAAAACTGGATTAATAGACATTCTACTAATACTTTCTGAAGTTCTACTACGTTCACTTGATGGAATTTCACGAATACGAAGCTTTCCCTAAAAAACAAAAACAAATAAATAAATAAATAAAGAATAAAACTAAACTGACCTTAAATTTTGTATAAACACGATTTTCATCTCCTTTTTCATCTGAACGATTTGTACCTTTTCCTTTATATCTAAATTAATTAAATTAATATATTTCTCGTTTTCTTTATTTAAATTAAACTTACAAAGGAAATTTATCAAGACAATCATTAAATCCTTCATAATTCTGAATATTTTCTAATTCATTTTCAATTATCTATTGAATAGAAATATAAATTATATTATAGAAATATATTAATGAAATCATAACACAAACAATTATGAACTTTTAATCTCTATCCCAAGAAAACTATTCGAGATTTCATTTGTATTCTTCAATATTCTCTTTCTTTTTTTATTTATTCAGTTCACATCAAATATTTGTGAGGATTATTTCACTCGTCAATTATATTCTCATTAATATTATTTATAAGATAATTAGCTTAATACCATAACATAATTGACTATGAAATTGAGTTCGAGTTTCGGTAAATTTTTTTTCTCGATCTCTGAATCATGTATATCTCTCTATATGAGATAGAAGAAAAAAATGAAATTACAATTTTTATTCGATCTGTTGTAAATTGAAATAAATCTAATATATTGTTATCTATCTGATATATATTTATTCTTAGAAAATCTTTTTTTTTTTTTTGTTTTTTTTTTATTATTTATTGTTTCTTACATCAAATGTTTGTAATAATGTTAATTCTTTAAGACGATCAGTTTCAATAATATCTAAACTTTCATCAATAACTGATTTGAACTAAGAAAGAAAAAGAAGAGAGAAAATAAAATAAAAACAAGAGATAAATGTTTTGATTACTTTCGAATGATCTCCAAGATATCCTAATTCATGAACAGCGAAACGTTCAAATTCTTTACGAAATTTTCCAAGACGCATAAAAGCTTTTTTAGCTTTACTCAAAAATGCCCAACGTTGTTTAGCAAGAGCTTCTAAAAAAAGGAAGAAAAAGTATTTTATCATCAAAAAAACAAAACTCGACTGACTTGATTCATCTTCAAAAAAATCAGCATAAACATTATAACTAAAATGAAGTCCTTCATCTAAATCTGTTTTGACTTTTTTTTCTAATCTCTATGAAAATGAAAAGAAAAAAGAAGAAAAATATATATAAATATGTGAGAAATATTAAAAATTTGAACATACAAGTTTTGCTTTTGATGCATAATATTTACTCCACCAAGTAGCTGATTTTTCCATTTGATTTCGTTTTGATCTATCTAAACTTGTTAATTGTTGATAACTATCAATAGATGATTCTAATTTAATGTCAGAATCATTTGAATTTTGTCTTTTTCTTTTGACTTTTTCATCATCTTCATTCTAAAAAAAAAAAAAATTTTTTTTGAAATAAAATAATTTATTTCGAATATCTTACATTATTTTCTTGTGCCAATGAATCAGCATTAATAATTATTTGTTGACTTTCATTAAGATTTTTTGTTTGACCTATTTCATTTTCGAATGTTGATATTTTTGTCTTTACGAAATCCTTATTTTCATTAATTAACGTAGCTGAAATATAAATATAAAACTATCATTTATTTTATGTGTCCTGAATATCAATAATACAAGAAATGAACAAAAAATAAATTAATTCATGAATAATTTATTTTAAAAATCTAATCAATCTTCTGTAATGTTTCTAGTTATTTTCGAATTACCAAGAAAAAATATTTATTAGTTTTCTTATATTCTATTAAGATGAACAATCACATTATTAAAATAAGACGCCGAAAATAAACAGTTATTATAATTCTTTTTTCTGTCTTTGACTAAACCTAATTGTTCAGAAAATTTTTAGATTTATAACAAACCAGACACGATAATATGATTCATGTCGTAGGGTATGATTGTGAATACACATAATGCTTATCTGTTCAGCTAATTCAATCATACACATGTTACATTTTTAAAAATATTAGATTGAGAATTGTTGATTTGAAGTTAACAATCGATAGACTTTAATTTGATATGACATCTATTTCTAAATAGTTCATCATTTAAGGGAAGGAAATTTTTATTTATCAATTTGTTTTTATAGGAGCCATAGGATAAGAAAAGATTAAATGAGGTCAAGTTCATATTTCAAGAGTGATGAAATTTGCTATTTGATCTTTTGTTTGACATTGTCTTTTGTTTTTTTAATACTTTTTCTATGTAATATTATTACGAAATATAAAAATAAATCGTTAATTCTACCTTCATAAGCATCATAGACCGATCGTCGAATACGGCTAAGATCATATGGAATTCTTTTTGATATTTCATTAACTGATTCTGTTTCCGATGTATTATTTGATATTGAAGGAATATTTGGTTTTTCAAGATATTTTTGTAAATCAGTTACGACAAGATTACCTACAGGTTCTTTCATTCCAAAAAGACGATGTTGTACACAAGAAATACTTAAATGTGGCCAAAAATTATTATCTTTTGGTAAATTCTAAAAGAAAAAACAATAAATAAAATGAACAAAAGAATTCATTATTAGTATGGTTTTTGTTTATACAACTATAATTTTGTAGATATCGGAATCCTTAGGTGTTGATTCAAAATTTGGATATTTTTGTACATCTTTTATAATTTTCGTTATACGTGCACCAGCACAATCGATTGATACTTCAGCTTGTTGAATTGATTGAAAATTAATTGGACGACATTCACGTAAACCCCAAAACATAACCTATTTAATAGAAATACTTCTTTTTTTTAATATTTTAAATAAAAAATATCAAAATTTACTTCGATTTCATAAGGTTTTAAATCAGGTATAATTATATATGGAATATTATAAATTTTATTTTTCATTAATTTAATTATATATAAATTAGGTGGAAAATTATCTGGTATTATTTCAATTTCTTCAAGATTAAATATTGAATCAACTTGTCGAGTTTCCTATTGAAATATTTTTAAAAAAAAAAAGAATAATTTTTTTTTTCAATTATTTTTACCGGATTAACTTCGTTGAGTTCAAATACAGCTAAAAGTTCTCCAGCTCTTTTTTCACCAAATTTAAATTCATACCATTGAAATAATGATTCTTTTTTTGTTTTATCTCCATCAAATAGATCAAGTTTAGCTGTTGTCGAAAATCGACCTATGAAATCAGATCCTTCATCCGACTAAATAAATGAAAATAACATTAAACATTATTGCTCATTGATATTAATGTCAACAAGAAAAAGATAAAACATAGAAACATATTATATTCTATCGAAGTATTTTTTTTAAGGTTTTTTTTTATAGACAAAGTATCAATAAGAGAACATATCCAACTGCTAAATTGCTTTTGAATCAGGACTATGTACATCATGTAGATCCTATTAAGCTATGCATAACCTGAAAAAAATTTTGACTTATTGTTATTGAGGTGTTGTTTTTTTGACGATATTTTCTAGTAGAATGCCGTGATACCTCTCAGAAATGTCAAAGAAACTAAGTTTCGAATTTAAACTTTGCAATTTCAAATATGAAATATCTCGTCATAAAAGATACTAGAACAGTTATAAGTTGTCCAACAAATAAATCTCATTGAGAACTTTGTTCATGCCAATTTTGAAGTTGAAATTCTCATGTGATCTGAGGAAGAGGAAGACAGCTTTTTTCCAGAAAAGTAAGTCAAATGTCTCTATATCAAAAATGAAAGTTGGAAACAAATCAAATCATTCAAGACTTTTCTATGAATTTGTAACACTTATCAAATACAGATCGTCACAGTCGAAAAGTGATTTGTCATCTGAAGTAATTCTCTCGTAAGTAATAAATCTTAAATAATGACAAGTTAGCTATAGATTATCGATTCATAAAAGGAAACAACCAATAATTTAAATAGTGATTAAATGAAAAATATAATAATTACTTCATCATAATCATAACATTCAACAACAACATTTCCAATGGTTTGTTCAGCTGTTTCTCGATTTCCAACATGTACCAAATTTTGAAAGACCAATGTTATATTCCATTGTGGACATAGTGATTCTTTGAGAATCTATGAAAAACAAAACAAAACAATACATTTGAATTCTATAATAAATAATAATGTCTTAATTATATAAAAATAAATTAAATTTTAGTTTATTATTATAAAAATTGAAAATTATTTTCAATGATATATAAATATATTCATGTAAATTTAAATACAATCCTAAATAATTAAAAAATATAATAATAAACATACAGGTGTTGTTTGTGTTTCATTTCCAGCTGTAATACTCAAATATGGATCAGAGAAACCAGTTTCATCTGAAGCATTTAATGATCTTGCTTTATAACAATGACATCGTAATTCATAATATGATATTCCTAAAATAGATATTTTATATATTATTTATTGAAAAATCTATTTATTTATTTTTAACCATTATATTGTATATATTTGATATCATTAGATAATTTTAATTGTGGCATTTCAAAACCAGCAGGTAATTGTTTAAATATATTTAATTCTTGTTCTTCACTACCAAGCCAAAGAAATATTTGTATTTTAGCATTTGTTGATGATTTTATTGGTTTATCTGATGTACGTGGTGTCTTAAAAATAATAATAAAAAATCACAATAAGAAAATTGATAAATAACAAACTTGAAGAAAGAGTGTTTGTATTCGACCATTATATAAACCTTTTTCACCTTCACATGTACTATAAAGAAGATCTTCTGGTGATAATCGAGCATAAGCTACTCGTTTTGAATCACATATCATCCATAAAAATATATCAGGTAATGATGGTTGTACCTTAAGAAATATTTGTTTTTTTTTTTTTTTGAATATAATAATAATAAATTAATCATTTTTATTTACGTCAAAAGCCATTCGTCGAAGTGCACGAGCTATTTTATATAATTTTTTAATTATTTCAAATCGTTTTGTTTCATCAAAATCAACATCTTTTGTAATCCAACTTTTTAATAATTCTAAATTATGTAAAATTTTTTTTCGTCGTTTTTCATCTAATGAATTCATTCGAAGATTTGGTAATGAAAAATTTAATACTTCAGATAGAGTTGCATGAACTCCACCTGTTATATTAAAATTATTATTATTAGTAGTTTTTTGTTGACCACATCCACATGGTAATGTATGAACATATTCTTCCATTTTTCGATATTGTTCTATTAAAATTTCATCTGATAATTTTGAATTGATATTAAATTCAAATTCTCGTATTAATTTAAACTAAAAACAAAAAAAAGAATTTTCTTAAATATCCAAAAAAAACACACACACACACAATCTATACCATATAATCAGCTGCATTTTTCAATCGATTTGATAAAGTCATACGATAAGTATAATCATAAAATGTATATTTTGTAAATATAATTGGTTTTTGTAAATCAATAGGTAAACGAAAATGTTGTACATTATTATCAATTGGTATACGTGGATATGATCGTGTTATTGATGAAGCTGATTCATGATTATTCAGTTGTTGTGAATTTAAATATCCACTTGAACCAATACTTAATTCAAAACAAATTATTGCATTACCAAATGTTTTATCAATCATTGTTACATCATAAATGCAACCAAATAAAATAAATGTACGTTTTATTGGAAATATATGCTATGACGAGAAAAAAAAACAAAGAATTAATAACAATTAAGAATATTGTTGATAAATTTTAAAAATAAATAAATTTACAGCTTCAGGAAATTGAATTCCACTTTCTTTTTGTACATTCATATTCGATGCATTTTCACCACTTATTGGATGACATTCTATTTCCATAAGTAAACGTCCTTTATAACAAACACCTTCACCCATACGTTCTCCAAGACCATCTTGATCTTTATTCATAGTATATTCTCTTGGACTTCCATATAAAAACATCCATGTTGGACCAAATATTGGTAAAAAACCAGCTAATGGATTACTTTCACTTATGGAAAAAAGATCAATTAAAAATGATGATATTGTACGATCTTTTTGAACAGCAGCATGATCTTTAAGTGCTATTTTTATTGTTCGTACAAGTGGTGGAAATTGTCCAACTAAATAAAGTGCTTCACCCCAAACAGGTGATGAACCATTACAATAATTTGTTGTTGCTTGTATTGCATTATATGTTACTTCAATATATGGATCAACTGGTTCCCAATCATCAGAAGCAAGAATTTTCTTTGAAACAGTTGTTAAAAAATCAGTCATCATTTCAGGTAATTCAGTTGCTGCAAAAAATGTTATTTTAAATTGAACTGGAAAAAGACGTCGAGGCATAGCAGCTGGTATAAATTCTTTTCTATATACGAATCAAATATAAATACAAAAGCAGAAAAATAAAATCTTTTATTTACGATGGTTTTAATTCATCATCATCTTCGACAGCTTCACCAAGAATATTCTTCAAAAAAATAAAAATTTTTTTATTTAAATTAGAAAAACAAAGATTTTATTTTTAATATATTACTTTTGTTGTAACACCACGTTGTGCAATTGCAACTGAAACAAGTAAATGACCACAAGATGCTTTGATAGAATCTGGATTAATTAATTTAGCCCATTTTCGTTCAAATACATGTTCTTCTTCATTATAAACTGTTGCTACATCAACTTTAAATATACCAATTGGTTTTGTATCAGTAAATGTACTTATTAGTTTTTTTGCATGATGAACCTCAATAAATAGAAAATTAAAAATAAAACAACAGTAGTCATCATCTACATAACACATAGATTTAAAGTTTTACTCGGAAATAAATCACTTTTTCCATCATTTGTGTGGCCGGAAGTGTAAAATCAAATGTAAAGAACTACAATAATATGAAGATTATTAATACAAAAATATTTATTTATTTTTTTTTTCAGAATAATAAAATCATATTTAAAATCATTCATAATTAGAAATGAGAAAAGTACAATTTTTGAAATTAACATTGTCCTAGAATCACTCATTTCATGATTAAATAGTAATTGTAAATAAATCATGTAGACCATTGACTTGAAAGTATCTTATGCTTAATAGAGTTAGAAATGTTCTTTCTTATTGTTAAGCACATCATTGTTAATATATATACTTCTAAAATATTAATCTTAACTGTCTGTTAAAATGTAAATATTGCATGAACATCTTTTCAATATCAAATTTTTTGTTTGTAAGAATGACAATCGTCTGTACTAATTCTGATTGGAAATCGTTCATTCATATCAATAATATATATTCTTAGAGATGATTCAAAATAAATTTTAAATCAATAGTATGAAAATCTTAATACATATTAATTAATAATTATTTAATTATTTCTTATTACTGTTCTTCATGTGTAAGACTTTTTGTTATATCTAGATCTGAACCGAAAATAATCGACATTTGTTAAGATATTTACACAGTTATAGAAAAGTATTCTATTTAGTTTCTTCCATAAATAGCAACAAAGAAAACAATAACATATGCCCAAAAAAAAAGAAACGTGTTCAACATTCATTTAGTATTTTTTCTTCTTCTAAAATCTAATTGATTCTGCTAAGTATACGTTTGTTTGTTACTGATGACGCTGAAATAGAATAGAATACAGCTTTCATGTCAACAGTCATCACTGTAAATACATACATAAATCCTTTTCTCATCACAATAATATATGTATACTTTTGATAATTTATTTTCCTCACTATATATTCAATTACTTCGTTAGATCGCTCATTATCATCTTAGATATATTTTCATAAAAAAACGAATTCTTTTAGTAAAGCAATATTACCTTTCCACTTCTGTTATCTGATCTCAATTAATACAATAAATTCTTGAACAATGATCGAATCGATTGTCACTGCTATGCTTTTATATGAATGGCAGTTTGAAAAAGTAACTAAGTTTTAGAATGTTGAAATCTTATTAATTTATACTTGTATCCGAACTGACCCGATGAGTTTTGCATTCGAGTCTATGCTTTGGGCTGGAACAAGTGCTGAGTACTCAACTGAGTTGCAGAACATTATCTCTTAATATGAAATTGTTCATCAAAGTTATGAATTCTTTTTTAATAATAATTATAGAAAATTTATTTACAATACACCACGTAAACGATTCTTTTGTAGCAATAAGAGTATAAGAGTCTTAGACAGCCAAAAATTGTCGATCCGATTGGTTTTAATAGTCTGAAAAATGTGTAAAGTGTGCTAGTCACTGAATAGAGAAAAAAACTAAACGCAGTGAAATATTTCGTATCCTCTGGCTAATTGTTCAATTTCAATTAGAAAATTCTCTTGAAAATATTAAAGTAGAGTTCGACTAAATCAGGGTCTGAGAATTTTTGATCCGACAAGCTCTATTCTGTACTTTTGCTTTTGTAAAATGTATTTTTTTCGTATCAGAATTCGCTTTGTGTTCCTCAGATATCTATCATGAGGGAAACATAACTTGACTGTTAAGATCTTTAGAAAAAGAAAAAAAACTTTTTTGAAAATCTGTCGAATAATAATTTAAATTACTTTTTTTGTTTTATATGAATTTATTGAAGATTTTTTTTATTTAAATGACTTACTTCTCCAAAGTACGGTGAATTATTACATTTATGTATTCCAGTATATCGTTTTTGATCACCAATTTGAACACATACATATGGATTAATATCAATTCCAGCAAAATCTCGTCCTTGTATAATATTAACCATAACTTGCCATTGTGTCATTTGATATTCATCACCTTCATATCGTCCCAAACTCAAATGATTTTAAATGAAAAATCTTAATTAAAATAATATATATATCTTTATTTTTTTTCAAACCTTTTTTCGAGTAATTCAAGTTCACTGTGTTTAATCTTTAATTTATCTTCGCGAGTCATTGCCAATAATGGTTCATTATAATTTGCATTACTACCAAATTCAGAATCACTAAATGAATCTGAATCAGCATCATCTGCACGACCAGAGAATTTCGTACGTAATTTGTTACTTAAATAAAAATAAATAAAATATCTTGTCGTTAATAAGATTATCAATAATATTAATAAAATAATTGTAAAGATTAAATATTATTTACAAATTATTAAATAACTATTGCTTATGCTTCAGTTAAATTTACAAATAGTAAAACATTATTAACTTATCTCACAACAAGAATATCATCAAGTGTTCACATAAAGAAAACATTTTTCTTATGATACAAAATTAAAGGGACACCAGAATTTGACTCTAAGGACTTTACAGTATGAACCTAAATTGACTATGTACGGATGTGGATTCGAGTTTCTATTAGACTCACACCCACATTAATAGAACTTTTTATAAGGATCAATCAGGTGAATTTAAGCACAGACCGAAATTTGTGTAGCCTAAAACTAAAATCGACTACTTACAATCCAGTATTATATTTTGAATTAATATATCTATGTCGATGACCACCATGTCGACCACCATCATCAAATCGATCCATCCAATTGATTGTGTCAGTTGTTTCATCAAGTCGATCTAATAGATCTCCTTTTTTATCAATACTTGGTGGCGTATAATAAAGTTTAAGTTGTACAGTTGATTTCATTAAATAATGATGTGGATCCGATAAATATTCTTCAGGTAAATCAATATGTTTTGCATCGATTAATGTTTCAAGCATTATTTCAAAAATTGCAATCATTTTCTTACGATTTTTTTTCACATTTATTGCATAAAATTCCATACGTATTTTCTCATCAGATAATAACATAGTTGCTAAATTAAAATGAAATTTTTTTGGTTTATTTCCACGTGCAATAAAATTTGCTGTTCCATTTTGTATTGGAACATTATTTGACCAAAGATGAATTCCTGAAGAAAAATTTAAAACAAAAAACCAAATCAATGAAAAAGAAGAAAAAAAACTTCTTGAATTATTATTTATTTTACGATAATGAAAATTATTTTATTAAATACCTCGAAATATAACTTTAGCACAAAGTAATGTTAAATTATCATCAGTAATTAATGGTGTTGCTTGTTCTTGATTTTCATTCAATAGATCAATTTTATTATTTCCTATTTCAAGATTAACAACTTTAAATAAAAATACCGTTAAAGCCATTCTATATTCTATACGAATAGGCAAACTATTAAGTGTTTACAAAGATTGTTTATATGCCATTAAATATGTATATGCAAACATCAATAATAATTTATTTGACTTGAAATGACAGGTATATTGAAAAGAGAAGGAAATATATAAGCACAACGAGAGAGAAGTAAAGCAATTATGATATAAACATCGTTACAGAAATATTAAAAAAATTAGCTTAATTTTCTTCCTTTTCTTGCATCTAATTTTTTAATTAATTTTCTTCGCCTAAATTATCTATCTATCTTGACTGTTATTTACTTTTATATAGAAATACAAGAAGAATAAGTATGTATAGCAATGTATTTTGTTTTTTATTAAACTAACAATATCAGCCTTTATGACATGTTAAGAATTCAAGAGATTTGTTGTTCAAAGTTTTTTTCTGTTGTTGTTGTTGTTGTTTTTGATGATGATGGTGGTACCAGATTTTCGCGAAATGATTCCAAGCGAATCTATAAATAATAATTAAAAAAGAAAGTTTATAAATTATGAAGATCAATATGGGTTTTTTTTTTCTTTCGAATAAAATATAACAGTTTTTGTCTCATTTTTCATGTCGTTCTGTATGATTGATTTTGTTATAATGTATTTTATAAATGACAAAAAACAAACAGGCTTGTTAATCATAAAGTAAAATCTTTTTTCGTCTTCATCATTTTTCTTTTTATGAAAAAAAACCTATTTGGCACTTCTATGAAATAATCATTATTCAACTCGATGTGTTTTTTTCTATTCAAAAAAAAACGAATTTATTTAATGATACTCATTTATATTAAGTAATATCTTAATAGCGTCTTTAACCTTTCGAAATTTGATTTTCATCAATAAAAAAAAAATAATAATTTTTGAAATTAACATCTGAACATTTTGTTTGACTTATCTAATGTACAGATTTAGAAAAAAACAGTTTTGACTATTGAAGGTTTTGATGATTTTTATGAATGATCTTTGAAACTATCGAGATAAATAATTAGATCTAGGAAATAAACAAATATTTTTCAAAGATAATCAAATCTTGCGTATCATAGATACGCACATTTGAGACCTTGAATGACTTGAAGATACGGAAATGAATCTTCACGTTACCCAAACCCTCAACTACAAAAGTAATGGTAGGTAGCATAATTTATCATGATACATCTTATACGAAGACAATCTAAAGTACATATATAAGTACTTTGACTGACATATTATATAGTTATGCTTCATTTACATTTAAACTAATAATAATTGAAAGAGAATACATAAAAGAAAAATTTCTTTTGCATTTTTCTCAAAATTGATTTTGTTTTCGGTAATGATTATTATCCTTCAGATGCGGGAAACGTGTTTTTCAATTCATTGTCAATTCTAGATAAGCTCTTGAATTTTCAAAAAAAAAGCTTTTTCCCTCATCCAGACTGGTAAAAAATTCTCTTTCAAATGAAATCAAGTCGAACTTCACAACTCGGTCTTTATGAACCTGTTGAATAAAAAGATATGGAGGCATGAAGTTTTCTTTTTTTTTTTATTAATGCATTTTCACGGTCCAAACATCTATACAAAGTTTCTTAGACTTTGTCGAAGTTAAATGTTTTAGGAAAGGTAAGCTTATATAATTTCTTACTCGTTCAACAATCATCATAATGCCTTCGGGTAAATTTCGTTGGACATATTCAAGAAATGTATCAGCTGTTGAACCAGTTAGATGTTTAAACTGTAAAGAATAGTTAAATTAACAATTGATATGAAAACATAAAACAAAAAGAAACTTAACATGAAATTTTTTATAATATGTTCGAATTTCATATTCTCGCCAATATTTTTTTTTAGCAAATTTTGAACGAAGTAAAGTCCAACGTTCGGTAAAAAAAGGAGGATTTTCACTAAAAAAATAATATGAAAATTTTATATTTCTTTTTAAATAAATAAAAATATATTATTTACACATTAACAAGTTGAATATCAAGTTGTGTAGATACAAGACGAACAAATTTCTCATAACTTTCTAATACGGCTGGATCATGACCACGTACTTCAACACACAAACGTTTATAAAGTTCATCACTACCATCTGGACGTTCAATGTGTGGTCGAGGTGTTGATGCAATGTTCAATTGTTTTTTTAACTAAATATTATAAATAATAAATTTCATATTAGAAGAAATAAAAATAATTATCTACTCGAGCAGCAGTAGTGATTGAACGACAATTTAAAGATAATGCAGAAAATGGAATTTGCGACAGTTTGAAAAGAAAAACTTGATTGAATACAGTCCGAGCCAACATCTCAAATACAAAAAACTACTGATTATATATATATATATAAATTAAAATATGAATATTGATTATGATTTGAAGTTTTAAAACTAATTCTTGAAAAATGATCTTTTATTATAGGCTACTCATATACGATCAATAGAAGTACAATCATGTACCTCTTTATAGATGAAATGATCAATATTTCAGTGACATCTAACGAAGAAAATCCAAAAACCCAGTTAATAGCAGTAAGAAATTGAAATATATGTATTATTGGCACAAAGCAAATAATAGTTTGTTTTTATTCCATAAGAATGAAATTGCTCGGTATGCATATTAATCATTTTATTACAGAACGTTTTTCCCTTCGATCTTATTTCGCAGATCGATAAACATCTACCTTGTAAAATACAAAATTAATTGTAAGAACATTTAGAATAATAGATATTAAAATGCTTAATTATCGAGTCAAATTTTTTTTCTTTTGATATCTATGATGTTGATTAACACTTTGTTTATGAAACTTATATATCCAAATTATAAGAGTTTACTATTTTATTTCGATCTTTACAATCAATTAATATCGTTAGAAATATGTAAAACTTGTAATAATTAATTATTTAGGCTCGACGAGACTATAGGTAACAATCATAATTGGAAAAAACAATTATGATAAATATTATAAATGAAAAAGACCCACTATTTACAATCAAAAACACAAAATATAGTCTGACTCCATACAACTAAAAATGTTCAATTCGTTTTCTATAATGATTAGAAAGATATATCCTTAGATTAATTCATACAAATTTCAATTAATCTTAACTTTCTTTAGCATAGAACATTTTCTAAACTTGAAATATATAAAAACTTTCGAAGAATATTTTTTTCATTTATTTCGTATCATTATTATTCGTAATTGTTGATGTGGGCGTTTAATACTCAAATCAATGAGATTAACGAACGACACTATTACCTTTCGATAAAGTTCAGTGATAAACAAATCTTTTGTATTATAACGACAAATATAAAATCCTATAACGAATAGAGAATTGAATAGAAATCAGTACTATTTATAGAGTATAAAACGACTATTATTTTCATATAATGAAATTATTCTAAGAATACTTTTGTTACATTCTGTTCTAACCATGGTTTCATATAGTAATTATAAAATAAAGAATATTTATATCTATCGTAGAATTATGGAATATATTTTTCTCATAAAAGAATGTCCTTTTAAAACTTTTAATCCATATTTAATAAAGGTCAATGCAGAATAATCTACATGACAGTTATATCAAATGAAAAAAGTACATTGACATCGGAAGAAATTAGAGATATGTAAAGTGCATACATTATATTTATTGACTCAAGTATTTTGAAAATGTGGTCGAAAAAGTATATATAACCTAACAAAAATATCAATGAGAAATAAAAACAATTTAATCGATTTAATGTGTGAAGAAGTTGTCTTGTATATTTATCAAAAAGTACTAAGCAGGCGATTATCTTTTTTCTATTCCATTGATTCCAATATTCGTAAAAGGATAGATACATGTAACATTTTCTATTAGTTTTTATATTGACACAATCAATAAAACTACTTCAGTGTACAAATAACTTCAGTATCTAAACTGTTATCTGTATAGATATGTTATTTCGAAGTATCTTTGTTGGGCTCATCATCATTTCAACGGTTTTATGTGAACAAGAATCAAGTAAGATTTAATTTATAGATGAAAATATATATCTGGGACGATTCATTCAATAGTACGACGATGTGCTCGTGCGATTGGTTCTTGTCTTCTTGCTCCAGAAGCTGTCGAAGGACCGTACTATTGGAATTCAACAGTTCGTAGTGACATTACGTAAGTTACTGTTAATTACATTTTTTTAAATCTTTTTCTACTATTTACCACTAAAATAGAGAAGGCAAAGGAGGTGTTCGATTCCGTTTAACTGTTACTGTATTGGACACGACTACTTGTTCACCATTAAGCGGTGCTCTTGTCGATTTATGGCATTGTGATGCTGAAGGAATTTATTCACATTATATTGCTGCTAGTCTTGGACAAAATACTAGACAAACAGATAATTCGACTTTTTTTCGAGGTATATTTCTTCTTTGTTTTTATGTATTTATCTCATCATACTGTTGAATTCATAGGACAACAAGTAAGTAACAAACAAGGTATTGCAGTATTTGATACTATTTATCCAGGTTGGTATCGTGGTCGAGCTACTCATATGCATGTCAAAGTACATGTTGGTGCTAGTTTAACAAATATAGGTGGATCAATTTATGCAAAAGGTGGTCATGTTTCACATATTGGTCAACTCTTTTTTAATGATACCCTTACTGATGAAGTTGCTAAGCTTTCACCTTACACATTACAAAAAACTCGACGTATACGAAATAATGAAGATGGAATTTATTCTCAATCAAAAGGATCTACAACAATAGTACCTGTTCAATTTCTGACAGCAAATGGTTTCAAAGGAGCAGTCAAAGGTGATATAACACTCGGTATCAATCCTCAAGCTGTATCAACATTAGCTGGCAGACCAGGTGGAGGACGACCAAGACCACCTCCAGGCCGTTAAAACTTTATTTCTTTTTCTTTGAAAATAATTTGATTCAATAATAAAATTTATTATATTAACAATATGATTTTTAGTGATACAAAAAAAATTATCGTTTAATTTTGCTATGATACATTTAA